CAGTGGCTCCATCTCAGCTCACTGCAACCTCCACCTCCTGGGTTCAAGCGATTCTCCTGCCTCAGCCTCCCGAGTAGCTGGGATTACAGGCGCCCGCTAATTTTTGTATTTTTAGTAGAGACGGGGTTTCACCACGTTGGTCAGGCTGGTCTCGAACTCCTGATCTCGTGATCCGCCCGCCTTGGCCTCCCAAAGTGCTGGGATTACAGGAGTGAGCCACCGCGTCCGGCTGCCGGCCCCACTTTTTAATAGTTAAAAGACCAAGGAGAAAAAATATGCAAATACTTGCAAACTTGCACCGCCCCTATTTTTGTAGCCCAGGGGTTTCACTGTAAGTCTCTTGCATGCACCCTTCAGCATTACACTATCAGTTGTCAGTCGCTCTTACCTTGAAGCAGCCGCACCGGGCACCCCAAGACTCTGCAATCGTTTTAGGACCTCAGGCACCTCTGGGTACAGTCGGACGTCTTGGCCCCGCCTATCTCGTACAGTTCCATCACTGGGGAGGGCAAGAGTGCGCTCAGCCCTGGCTGGCTCCCATCTCGCCCCAGTCCTCCCTGTCCCTACCTCACCTGCTCTTATGGAACGGAGGGTCCACGTGCGTGTCGACCCAGAAAGGCCAGAGAGTGTAATCTGAGAGAGGAAGGAGAGGGAAGGTTCAGCCTGGTGGTGGGGGACGCAGGGATTCGGGAGCAGCAGTTAGGGGTATGGAAAAGGACGGCGCCTTACGAAATTCTCCTTCCCGTCCCTCACCCAAATCAAAGACTGCCAGCTTCGGTAGCCGCGCCATGACCCGCACCGCAGGCTGCGCGCAGCAGAGTTGGTGCTTCACCCAGGGCCGGTAGAGAGTGCGGCACCTCCGGCAGCTAAGGCGGCCACCCCGCCTGCCATAGAAAAACGGCTACTAGAGCGTCGCCACTCGGGGCGTCGTCAGCCTAGATATGGCGCAAGAGGGCCATCTGATGCTGGGCGGGGGAGAGGATTGCAGCGAGGTACCAACACGACGGCCACACGCAACCACAGCAGTCAAGTCTCTCCAAGGCATTGGCCACGGGCATCCTCCCTACTTCTCCACTCCACCCAGCGTTGCCCGATTCTATTATACTAAGAAGCCAGGGAAGAAGGAAAGCGTTTTCTAGCACCTGCCTCTTCTTGAGACCCAACTGATACATTACAGTTTGTCACTCAATCTTTCTCCATTATCAACCTCTTGATAGTGCAGAACCCAAAGCCCTCAGTAATATTCCAGCCAGAGTGCAGTGTTGGCCAAACCCTTGACGGCGTTCTCCAACCAGACCTAAATGTCCAGTAGAGTCACATTCAGAGAGAATTCACTCTCTGAAGGTTTCCACCATCCATGTCAGCACTACACTGGTAGATGTTTAACAACCAGTTTGTGGGGAGGAACTGATCTGTAGTGTTTGCCAGTTTTTGTAAATAATCCTACCATGGCCAATTTCAAGCTACCAACATGAAGTCACTTAAGAAAGTTGGAAAGAGGTGCCAATAGTTGGCTCTCATTAGCCACTAGGAACTGGCTCCAGCACACCAGTAAGTATGTTTTCCTAGAGCCTGATAATCCTTCTAAGAGCACCATCCCTTCCATTGTCCGATTCCTTCAGCCTGCTTAACTGAGTGAGCATTATGTCCATTTTTTATTTCAGTCAACTTGTGCAACAGAAGAAAGATTCCAGGAGGCCAGGAAGTATTTTATTGACAACCAGGGACACAGCCATAAGAGAAGGAAGCACACAGGACTGCAAACTAACACCCAACAGCCAGCAA